ATACCACCTGGCTATTAGTGTGCAGTTCTGTTAAAGGTATATTATGTAATCTTTAGGAAAAAAACTATTTTTAACAATTTTTAAAATCGTTTCATATCATTTTTTCATACAAAGGTCAATCAATATGTATTACATTAAAAAAAAATTAAATAGTCAAAATTTTAAATTGCATTTCAAAATATAATCACCCTATATAAGTCAAGAGGGCCACTTAGGATATTATCTAAATTTCGGCCCCAGTTCCTCAAAACATAAATAATAGCCCAACAATCTTTCATAAAAGACCAAACACATGTTTTTGAAGCGCCTAAGTTGTTAGTTCGCTCCTCAATCCTGGTCGGGATAAGTCCAAATTTGCATTGTATTAGCTAGATTTGGACAACTATTATTAGACTTAGGATCCAGGGTAGACTCAAAATCATAAGACCAAAACCTCATGAATATAGTCCCAATATTCTAACAAATTGACAACTTAAATCAAAATTTATCTTTAAACTAAAATTTAAAGCCAAACACATAAGATAGGATGGGCATTTTTTAATCTTTTCAGAATTCCAAAGTGCATCCTACTTCTCATTCGTTGGTCCATAGAAGTAACTGTTAAAAATTTTATTCAATCTATTTGAAACTCCGATCTCACTCCTTTGATATCAATCATTAAAAAAATTTTAAAAAAAATTCTAACATTATTTTAATCAAGAATTTTCATAGGAAATTTAGGTTTCTTATGATGTAATAATCTATAAGAGCTTACACTCATAGGAGATTTAAAGACCCCAGATCAATTTTTAAAATTCAATTAATTCTCTTTGAAAAAAATCAAAATCAACGACAATTATTATCGCTATATTCAAACCATGGATAATAAGTGATCTTCTCTTTCCCCGGAAAGATATATTATTTATTAACATGCCTTTGAATACAAAATTAATGATACTTCATTCAGATTATTATAGCCAAATACTAGATTGGACGTCAGTTTGATCCTTCGGGGTCATATGTAGTTCTTCCTTGAATTTGACCATCATAATCAGGATGAAATTTATTGTTTGTTATTTGAACCCATTAGGGAATGCTATTCTCGCCTCCCAATGTGATATATCATTCTTGATGACGTATTTTACTTCAAAAATGAAATTCCAAAAATAAAATTTTTCCAAAGAAATGTAAATCTAATTGTTTTGTTTCTTTTGAAAGCAAAGCTTACTTTTTTCAACCAATAGCTGTCAAACAGAGACTGGGCGCCGCCATGTCCATATTTGGACGCTTCGGCGGTGTTAATGATAGCACCGCGGCGATATTATGTTTGATGCCACGGTGTTGTACCATACTTGAAAATTTGTCCATTTCATATATTTTCCTATACAAACACAACTAAAACAACAAATTTTCACTTCTAAATTAATATATAAAACATAGCATTATTTACACTTATCAATCCTCTTATATAAGTAATTGTTTGCTTATAATATCACCATGCCTTCTTATATAATAAATTAATTTCATAATCTCTTTCACATCTAATATTATCATCTTTAGTTTTAAATGCGGGTGCCATTCAACAAATTTATTGTTTGTTATATGTCCAATAAGTCAAGGTTGGGATTGTTAATAGTTTTTTTCCTCTAAAATCTAGTAAGCAAGTATATTTTTAGACCTGGCTTTGAATCTTAATTATATGTCCAACTATAAATTAGTTATATTTCTTGCTTTAAATCAGTTATATGTCCAACTTTAATTATTGTTAGTTATATGTCCAACTTCCTAGCTAGATCTAAAGTTCCATTGAATGTTTCCATATCATTCCTTGATTTTGTTCTTTGAACTGAAAATTATTCATTGCCGCATGCTGATGTAACTTCTTCAAATCGTCATTACTCTAAGAAAGTTGCCAAACTTCTACTTATATTGAGCAAAAACTCAAACATCAATTCATTACATAAACATCCATTGACATAAAAGTGCTTTCATACACCAACTCTTCTAGTATAAACGGTAACCATATGTTCACTCTATATTATTAAATTATAATTTTCATCTCTAGTTACATGAAGAATGTACGTGGATACTTCACTTATTTACTATACATAATGTGATCGAGGTCATCTCTAATAGTTGCTTTAGTAATAAAACAACCATTGAGCCATCATCATTTTCACCATATTTATCTTTACAATCATCTTCATTTACACTTAAATTAATGCATGCTGCATCATTAGTAATGAGGTTCACTCATCGATGGAAAAAAGTTTGAACAAAGAAAGATTAACTTCAAACATTGATATATATTATTTCAAACATAATTAGATAAAATGACTTTAATTTTTATAAAAAAATTTCTTTCTTATAATCAATATAAATCATAAGAATTGTAAAAGAATTATTTAAATTGTATACCCATAACACCTACAAATATTAAAAATATTTACCCATAAGTTTTCAAAGTCTAACTCAACTATTTCATAGAAACTTTCTAATCATTGTCACCATTTTCCCACCGCATTGTAGTAAGAAATATCACACCAAACTAATAAAAATATCACATATCGAAAAGATAAAATGTGCAGATAAATATGGAGTGGCTATTTTGAGCAAGATATAATTCAATAGAGATACATGCTTAATATATTTTAAGGGTACTTTGGTCCAAAATTAATTTGAGAAATTTTTATTTAAATAAAAATTGAAAGAATATAATAATTAAAATAAATATTTTATGAAATATAAAAATTGGCATTTTCTTTTTATATTATGGATTTCCATAAATCCTTTCAAAATTTAAAAATTTTAATGGGAATTATATAAATATAATAGATTCTTTAAGTATTTACATATCTAGTAGTTAAACTTTTACATTTAATTAATCAAATTAAAGCATATTTATGAAAAGTATTTTTATTTTAAATAAATTAATTTAATAATATTGTTTGTGTGATTTAAAATTCAAATATTAAATAAATTAAAAAAATTTATAAAAAAAATATCTGTATATATATATATATATACATAAAAATTTACCAAATATATCATGATTCCGTCATTACAGCATCTGAGAGGCTTATTGGCAGTCGTGAAGGTCGTCTGGTCTGTAGGAATTTTTATTGCCTCAGGTAACCTGACACAGCTCTACGTTCGACATAGCCTAATCAAGCGCCACGTAGCAGCCTCATTTACGCGGACCTGACCCGGCGAATATTGGATTTATGGCACGTGTGAATTTTGAATTTGACGGCCCGACCAGCAGACCCGAAAAATTCCCGGCGGACCCGAAAATTATGTATAATTTTCAAATAAAGATCACCATCTTTCACTTCAGTCATCATTTGCTTGCATATACGAAGCTTTCTTTCCGGCAACTATTCATCTTCTTCCAAGTTACAAGCTCCCCGCATTTGCGTTTCATATACTTCAGAGAAACAATGCCTCGGGTTAGTTCCTTTTTTGATAAACAATGCCTCAACTTCTTCTTTTTAAATGTTTAGGGTTAGGGTTTACGGATAAAGTCCTATAGCTGCTGAAATTTTAATCTTTCGTGAAGAAACAATCTTAGAATCGAGGTCGGTATTACTCGGTACAGATTAGTATTGCTCGGTACCGAGCGATATTGGCAGTTATAAACACTTGGTACTACTCGGTATTGGCGATTAATGGTCGTTATAAGCTTAGATAAAAATATAAAAGATATTATTTATTTAGCACCGAGTTAAATACACTCGGTATTGCTCGGTACCAAGCGATTTTGGCAGTTATAAATACTCGGTACTACTTGGTATTATCGATTAATGGTCGGTATTAGCTCAGTTATATTACTATGAACTGCTCGGTATTTATAACCATTAGTTCGTATAAGCTTCGGTATGTTGATCGGTACTGCTCGGTATTGCTCGGTATTATGAACAATAACTCGATATAAGCTTGCTTTAATAGTCCAAATCATGTTATATACTCGATACTCATCAGTATTACCTCTATTATGTTTGGTATCGATAGTCTTTTGTATGTATAACTTAATACTCTGAATCGCTTGTCTTCAATAATCGGTATCCGTTATGCAAGGATATATTCCAAAGATTTATTTCAGATGTCGAACTTCAACTTTTAGAGAAGTTTGTAATCAACTTGTTCGGAGATTTAGAGATCCTTTTGTTGAAAGACTACGACAGCTGCAAATAAGCCAGTTCCTTATGGTTCCTCTAATGCCTCAGAATGTTCCACTTTTGTATATGCTGCCATCGAAGTGGGATTTGAAGACTGAAAGTTTTATTATTAAAGGACATAGGCAATAGTTCACATCTGATGAGGTTTCCTTAATCATATGCATGCCGAATAGAGGTATTATATTTGGCATTGGCAGTGCTAGATCCAGTGGCAAAACATCTAATGACATTCGTCATGACATTGAGAGGATGGATAATTCAACTTTAATGGATGATCTAGTGAAAGGATTCATCCTTTATATACTATCCAACATTTTTTATCCAATGGCGAACTTCTGCATACCATCATCTATCCTGAAAGTTGTCGAAAATGTTGATAGTTTTAATACATAAAACTGGCCAGAATCAATTAGGGGTTTCCTAGTTAATGAATTCAACCTTGTTGCTACTAAATAATCAAATGGATGTGCATTGGGTTATGTAAATGGTTTTGTCATGATTGTAATTGTAAGTATTGCTATTTTGTTCAAAATATCTTTGGTAAATTTCTAGTTTCCATAACAAATTTAAATTGTCTTCATTTTTGTATATTTGGTTTCTTGAACATACAACCATTCATGTCGTAGATGATGAACTATCTCGCCCACGTTTTACTCGGTGGGATGGTAATTTTATGTACAGTGAGAAATATGTAAATAGTATATTTGCAGACCTTTAGGATCATGAGGTAGCATCACTATGTCTTTTCATTTAAATGTCTGCTAAATTTATATATTTAAATGTTTAAATTAGATGAAATATTATATTTTATACAGATTCTCAGTCAATTCTGAGGAATAACAGATGATGAGAATGCTTTATTTCATAGTCCTTTAAAGATCTCATCTGAGTCGTCCAGTTTATCTCCACCTAGTCCAACCAGTCCAATACGGGTGGCAAGCCCAATTAGGGTGGCTTTCCCACCTAAACATGATTCATCTCCACCTACTCCTAGTAGTCCGGTCAAGGTACCAAGTCCAATCAGGGTGGCAAGCCCATCTAAACATCATTCATCTCCACCTACTCCAACTAGTCCAGTTAGTGTGACAAGCCCAACAAATCCTGATTCATCTGCACATACTCCGTCTGAATTAAATCCAATAACAGATGAAACAAACCTGAAGATCTTAAATCAAGCAATATACAAGCTTTTTACCAAGGACAATTTTACGAAGAAGAAGCTAGCTTCGGTGGAAGCAACAAATAGTTTACTTGAAAAACATGTAGTGATTTTGGAACAAACTGTTTTTGATTTGAAAGAGGAGATTTTTGATTTGAAAGAGGAGATAAGGAAAAAAAATAGTTTTATATTGAAGTTCTTACAAGATCAGTTTCCTTCTTATTTTAAAACTTACAAGAATGAAATGTCTGTTGAATCTTCTTCATTTGCTACTGAATCTGAAAAAATTGTGTATAAGGATGCCATCTTGAGTAAGGATAATGAATTTGATCCATCCTTACAAACCGACATAGCAAGAAGAGTTCAGCTGAGAAATGATAAGAAGAGGAAACTTGTATCTACATCTTTTACAACCAGTGTTAGGAAGAAAAAAATTATACAAAATTTGTCATCCAAAGAGAAGTTCAGTGAGTCAATTCCAAATGATGCTCCTACAGTAGCACTTGAACTTGCTCCTACTCCTACACCAGCTCCTGCAATTAAACTTGATCCTGCTCTTGCACCACTTCCTGCAACTGAACTTGCTCAAGATTATGAACAAGCTCCTACACCTGCAGTTGCTCCTCCACCTAATCCTGAGCCTGGACCTGCTCTAGTACCTGCTCCTGAACCTGCTCATGAACATGCTCCTGCATCTATGGATGAATCAACCACAGATTATGATAAAGCTATGATTGTTTATGAAGTTAATGACTCAAAATAAATAGAATTGTGTCCTGCACCTCAAGCATTAGATTACCCTAGGCGGTCATTAATAAGTGAAGATAAACGCATATTCATCGATAATTGTTTGAAACAATTCAAGGATAAGTGAGTATTGTACTTATACCGACCAAAACCAATCAATACCGAGCAATAATCTTGTTTATACCGAGGAAAACCAATCAATACTGAGCACTAATCTTCATTATACTGGGTATTATGTTAAATATACTCGGTATTATATCAATCATGTGATGTATAGTACGTTGACTGGTTTTTTAATGCATTATACTGAGTAGTACCAAGTAATACCGAGGTTTACATATCGGTACTACTCGGTATTATGTTAAATATACTCGGTACTACATCAATCCTACGATGTATATTACGTTTACTATTTTTTATGCATTATACCGAGTAGTACCGACTAATACCGAGCTTTATGATTATGTTTTTATTTTTTATTAGTCTTTTTTAATTAATGTTTATTGAATTATCCATGGGCGACACTATTTTCGAGTTTGAATATGCAACAATTTATAGAAGCCAATTGGACGAGTTATTACTATCAGATGAGCTTGATAATAATCACTTGGATGTGTTTCCATATTTATTAATCCAGAAGAATGCCCTTTGCCCCAGGCTTAATCAACCTTTTATTTATATTTCAAGTTTTCATTGGGTTAGTAAACATTATTTATTCCTTGTATTTACTAATTCTATTTATTAGGTTTAAATATATTGGAATTAATCACCAGTACTATTTTATCTTATCCAGGGTTACTACGCCCAATCAAATGAGATGAACACAACTAGCTTCGTATCTCATATAGATAGAACCGTTATTAAGAATGTAAATTTGATCTTTGTTCCTATAATAAACAGTAAACATTGAACACTTCTAGTATGCAATTTGAGAAAGAAACGATGGGAGTTTTATGATTCATTGCCGAAAAAGACACACAAAGTTATACTCCTAGAAGTTGTAAGTAATACCAATATTTAACTTTTATTTTAGGAGTAACATTATTGTATGTTAATTTATTTTAAATTTTCTAGATTTCTCATTTGTACAAGGATACAAAGAACGCTTTTGACGAAGATATAACGAAATGGCCTATCAAAGGATTTAGAAACGTGCCAACACAAGATAACAACGTTGATTGCGGCATGTTTGTTTATAAATATATGGAAGTTGTGATATAACAATAACCTGTTCAATGGTATCGTTATAAGAACTGGCAATCTAGTATGCCATTATTCAGAGCTGAATTTGCATATGCCCTGTTATGTACTAAAATTCAATAGATTATGGACTAAATGATGAAATTATTTTGTATATTTCCTATGTATATCTAATGTGTTTTAATAATTTGTTTACTGTACCGAAAAATTCAACAAATACCGATTAATCATTGATGAGTACCGAGTACTAAAAAAGACTAATACTGAGCAATACCCACTAATCAAAGACTAATACCGAGTAATATGAAAACAGATCGGTACTGCTTGGTATTTATTGAAATATACTCGGTACTATATTAGTGCAGTTTAGTATACACCAAATACCGAGCAATACTGACTTCTGTGGACAAGTACCGAGTACTAAAAAGGACCAATACCAAAAAATACCAACTAATCAAAGACTAATACCGAGCAATATGAAAACAGATCGGTACTACTCGGTATTAGTTGAAATATGCTCAGTACTATATCAGTGCAGGTCAGTACACACCAAATACCAAGCAATACCGACTTCTGTGGACAAGTACCAAGTACTAAAAAGAACGAATACCAAGCAATACCAACTAATTAAAGACTAATACCGAGGAATATGAAAACAGATAGGTACTGCTCGGTATTAGTTGAAATATGCTCGGTACTATATTAGTGCAGTTCAGTACACACAAAATATTGAGCAATACCGACTTCTGTGGAAAAGTATCGAGTACTAAAAAGGACTAATACCGAGCAATACCCACTAATCAAAGACTAATACCGAACAATATGAAAATAGATCGGTACTGCTCGGTATTAGTTGAAATATGCTCGGTACTTTTTTTTTTGGTTAAAACCCACCGACGGGCCTACGCGTTAATATTGGTAAAAATTACATAGTCCTTAAAGGGCCTCCAGCTCACTAATGCTCTTACGAGCTACAAACAAAAGAAAAAAAAAACCTAAGAGCCGGAGTTCCCTACTAATCAAAATAACACAAAAAACTAGTAACATTCTAAGGAATAAAAAACAAAGGGAAATGAAAAACAAATTCAGCATAGCCCACCAACCGGAACGAGTATCTTGCACAAAACGAGCGCGGAGCTCCAAAAACCTGTGAAAGAGGCCTACAAAGATACTAGGAAAGAAATGAAACAAACAGGGAAAACTAAGAGCCAAAATTTAACATAAAAAGGAAAACCAATTCTTATAATAACCAACGATCCCGGATGAAAACACCTCCAACACAGCAGCTGCAGAAAAAACAGACTCGAACCACAGACACCAGTAACATTGCACCTGGAACCATACCCAGGAACATACCAAAAACCAACCATGGAGACCCCAGCTACAAGAAAAAGGAAAGGAGCAGCAGCCACCCCTAGACGAGAAACCAACCAAGATAGACCTGGGAGCAAGCACATCTCTAAAAAAACGATCCAAAAGACCCAACATCCCCCACCCAGATAGCACCAGAACCACCAAAAACACAAAAAAGAGTACCCAAAGAACATCAGCCCAGAACAGAACACCAAAACCGATGAACTTAACGCACATTAACATAAGGCACACTATTCTTATCCAAATTAATCAAACCTTTAATCTGAACAGAGAGATTATTAAAAGATAAATCAGTGATACCATGAAACATGTAACCAAACGACGCTAACATCATAGCAGCAGAATTGAAAACAAGGCAAACATTAATAAAATGGCAATTCAGAGAGCCCAAAAAGAACTGAATATTCCTACAAATATAGAAGTAAGAGTACCCACACATACCATCTTCAACTAAGTCTTTAATGTCCTCATTCAAGTTACCCTCAATCACAATATTCTGAATATCTAAACCAGCACAGATATTAAGCACATGGCAGACAGCCAAGAACATAGCATAATGCTTATTTGCTGCCACCGTTTTACCAGCAAAACCAAAAACAAACTCCCCAGCACAGTTTCTAATCAAGCCACCAATACACCAACTACTACCAATCAGAGAGATATCAAAATTAAGTTTAAAACAGTTAAGTTGAGGTTTCAACCAAGCAAGAGAGGACATCCCATGACAGCTGCCAGTAGCCTCATAATGGATCCCAAAAGCCTCCAAAGTAAACAAAACATTATAAAAACTTTTGAAAGAAATCAGATTAGCAGTAGAAAGAGAAAGAACTTTCTCCTTGATTCTAGCAATAATGTTATGGTGGTTCATCGCATTACCATTAAAATGGGAATCATTTCTAGCCAACCACAAAAACCAAAAAATTAGGAGAGGGATAACATTTCTAATATGACCTTTAATACCCACCATCCAACCTTCCAATAATTGCTAAACCGAACCATTAGGAAACCAGCAATTAACACGAAAAAGATCCTCAAAGTAATTCCACACCTTGGTAGCAATAGGGGAAGACACAAAAACATGATGTAAATTTTCCATGTTAGAGCAACATTGACATTCGAAGTGATAAACAAACCTCTAATCCTAAGAAGATCATCAGTAGGAACAAAGTTCTTCATGATTTTCCAATTAAAAACAGAGACAGTACTATGAATGCTCTTATGCCACATCATTTTAAAAAGTTTAATAGGATCTTTTTTATTTCTAAAAACGTGCCACACATCTTTAGTCTGGAAATGACCATCCTTAGTGAAAGAACAAAGAAGGACATCTTTAGCAGTACGGTTCAGAGGAAGATTAGAAATCAAATTGCAAATAGAAAGCGGAAGCACAGAAATTAACTTCTCCATGTCCCAACCAATATCAGAAAAAAAGAAATTAAATATGATCGGTATTATATTAGTGCAGTTCAGTATACAAAGATATCAAAATTATGAAATTCACATATACAATCAGAAAGTCATATTCATAATAGAAATATATCAAAATTCCCAAATTACATGAAAGACGATTGACTGCCTGAATCTCCAGTTGTAAAGTGTATGCTTGTTGGAGGATTCCTCTCAGTGGGTTTAACTTTTTTGGTCTTCTTTTTCTCCCAGTGATCCTTCAATCTTGCATTTGATACGCCCTTTGGCTGGCACTTCTTAGGATCTTTAATAGTTTCATTACTTGCTCCAGAAATTGGTATGTTCTTTCTGCCAATCTTGATTGAATGTACTTTTGCAGCCAATGTACTCATGCAATCTATCACACACATTTCAGCCTCCTCATTACCATGTGCTTCTGTGTTAATTTTATATACAAATCGGCAGATATAATTTTTGAACATCAAGTTGCTGGACCCCTCAATAGGTTGGCAAGCATTGATACCGAGAGATGGGTTCTTCCCTCCATAATATAAATCTTTTCGAGCACTAGCTGACCATCTTGGGAGTAAATATTTAACAAAAATATTAATAATATCTAACTATCTCATAACTCTCATGCAATGAGAACATAATATACCCATCATTTCAAATTTTGTACAGTTGCATTGAATGGTACCTTCTAAGGAATTAAAAGTGACAATCCAATTATGTGAATCAGTGGAGTTGTCTATATTCTTTACGGAAAACCTTAAAAAATTCGATGAGGAATGTTCAATGTTAAGTCCACCAAGTCCATGTAAGAACTCCACTTCAAAAAATGAATACAACTTTCTTGAATAAAATTTTGCAGCTTGCTTCAATATTGAGCTACTTTCATATAAGGTTGTATATATGCTTGACTACATCTGAATTCTTCATCTTATTCATTCCGACGCCAAGTCCTCAACACCTTCTCCAAACCTAGGAAACACTCAGTGATAGTACTTGTTGGCTTGGAATAACCATGGCATATAT